AAATATTAAGCTGCATAAGTACTGTACATATATCTACTATGCCATACATTAAAGTATAAAAGAGAAGATATGACTTGACTCAACAAATTCTGCATGTAAAGAGCTAAAGTTTCTAATACCAATGGGGCCAGCTCCCCCACCACCAAAAAAAGAATCCTTTGCAAAATTTTAGGAGCTGGCGGGTTAGCTCAGTTGTCTAAAGCACCTTCTTGCCCAAAATCAGTCAGGCTCAAGGGACTGCGGTTTGCTCACCACCTCCACATGCTGCACCAGACCCAGCCTTAAGGCAGCCTGAACCAGCCAAAAAAAGAATCCTTCTAACACCAATGGGGTGATTTCAATGTCTTTAAGGGAAGACTTCTAAATTGCTAAACATATTAAAAGACCTTGTTGGAACAGTTATCAGGGTTGGAAGATGAAACTGACAGTATTGTATGCAACATTGTGAGACTGAGACAACAGAAGAAAAAGTTACGAATAGGAGTGAGGGTTTTCAGTACCCATGGGGGCTTTTGTTTGTGTGGCTTCATACTTCTCTTGGACCTGGAGTTGGTCAGGTACCTGCACAGGGGTGAGATCCTGTACTAACATTCACGCCACAGGGGGAGGTGCCTCATTACATAAAGAAAGCTAGTTAATCGCAACTTTTTTTTTTTTTTTTTTTTTTTTTTGGGTCTCACTATGCAGCTCAGGCTGGCCTTGAGTTCACTTTATAGTCCAGGCTGGTCCCAGGCATGTGCCACCATGCCTGGTTAATCTCAATATCTTAAAGAGTTTTTCTTTAAGATAAGCACATTTTTAGTTTATTTATGGTGTTCCTTAAATATAAATAAGTTTGTTTTCATGTTACCTTGTTTATTAAAAACAAGCATAGTAATGATGTATCATCAGAAAATGAAGTGTTCTAGATAAAATTTATGTTTTTATTACACGGGCATGTTTCAAATTTTAGGGCTGAGAGCCATGCATGGTGGAGCACACCTGACGTAGAAAGACTAAGTTCCAGACCAGACTGAGACCATGTATCCAAGAAAACTCCAATTGAATCAGGAAATAAATCTCAATGCATAGGCTTAGGGTTTAATCCCTGGTATCCAACCAAATGGGAAGGGAGAAGCGGGAGGAGTGCATAGCTCCGGGAGGCTCACATGTGCCCCCTCCCCAGAAGATCTGCAAGGCTGCGGCTAAAGCAGGCTGAAGTGGCTAATCAAGGGACCAAGGAACATTTACCTGCGGAAAATGGAGAAACTAAAAATAGGTAGAGTGCAGCCTCTTTTGAAGCAGAAGAGAAAGAAGCCAAGCCTGATTAATCACACACCATGTCTTATCAGTATTTTCTGTCTCCCTTCTTATATAATCCAGAAGAATCTTTTTAATCAACTATTTTGCAAATGTAAGTTTTTGGTAGCTCTAGAAATATTTTCAAAAAGGAGAGAATCCCATCTCATTGCATTTTTTAAGTGTGAATGATTTTTTAGAGGTGAAAGCATTCTCTGGTTATTTTTTGGTACAACCAGAAAATAGTGGGATTTTGAGTTATGGCAGGCTTTGACTGTCTTGGGTGTCAGCTTAATATTCCATAGGTGGGGTTTAGTTTTATCCTGTAATGCAAGGCATACTAAATGTCAATTTGGAATTATAGCCATGCATTTAACATGTCTTGGATTTTTTTAATGTATGTATGTATGTGTGTGTATGTATGCATGTATATAGTATGTATTTGCAGGGTCTCACTATGCAGCTTGGACTCACAGTGAACCTCTTGCTTTCAGCTTCCCCAGTGCTGGGATTACAGGTATGCACCGGCTCAGCCCACCTTGGGATGGCGCTGGTGTGGCATGTGGTGCTGGGGATGGAACCATGATCCCTGCACTTGCCGTAGCAGGCACTTTAGTCTGCTAGTCTGCTGAGCTATCTTGCCAACTTTGTCTCGGATTTTTTTTTTTTTTTTTCTGTCTTGGATATTTTAAATGACTTCCATTCCCATCTTGTTTTTAGTAGAATTGTTTCCTAAAAAAACTACTTCCTAATTGTTGCCCTGTCAGAATCATGTGTACTCTGGAACATCTTTGGTAGTCCAGTTTGCTTAATTTTGTTAATGTGCTGTGAAAGATAAAAAATTTGAGTATGTAGTGTATGTGACACAAAACTGTGAACTGGTGAGACTTAAGTAACATGCTGTCAGTGTTTGAAGATACTGGTTCTTAATCATCTTACAGAAAATTTGCCTCTAAATTTGAAGCTGGAAAGTCACTGGAATAACTGAAAAACAATACATGGCTTTTTTGGGGACTGTGTACAAGGTGAATCATCTGTACCGATCCTCAACACAACCAATAAAATCTCAAATATGGAAGACAAAACAAAAAACAGTAAGTCAAAAGTTGTAACATACAGAGCTTTTCTCTTAAATATTAGGACATGCAATGCTCTTCCACCAAACGCATGTTTTCCAGGTTGTTGTGCGCTGCTGTGTCCCGTGAGCTGCCACGGTCCCTCGCTGTCCCTGTGATGATGAGTCTGCATCTGCGATCTTCACCTCTAACTCTTGTTTGGAACTGAGTTTGCAAAGTATGGTCACCTGAATGCCCCATTTCTAACAGAGGTATTTCTTGAATAAGACAGGAAAAAATGTCAAATTTAGTATCTATACAATCCGAGTTTGTTTCTTTTGTTCTGTTTTGTACCTTGACTATGTTAATGTTAAAATTTTAACTTCCAGGGCTAGAGAGATAGCTCAGTGGAATAAGTGCTTGACTTGCAAGCACAGGTCCTGTGTTTGATCCCTGTTACCACCCAAAAAAAAAAAAAAAAAAAAATTAACTTCCACAGCCTCACTGATAGTTTACAAACTATATTAATTGGAAAATCTTATGGTTTGTGTCTAGCTGTCCCCCCAAAGCCTCATGAAGTCATTGGGATGGCTTCTAGAGTTTGTGATTAATTCATGATCCAGTGCTGGGATTTCGGGTGTGAGTGCTACCCCTGCCCTGGGGTGGGTAATCTGCATTACAATGTAAGGAGGGGAGAGGGGCTAGCTAGCAGCTGCAGCTGCTAACCTTCCCTTTGCTCTCTGCTGTTTTCCTCTGCCATGTGCCACTCTGCCTTGGAGCCAGCTGAGTATGGACTGAAACCTCCATAAACTGTGAGCCTTCCTTAATTTCTTTCCGTAATTTTGGATGTTGGGTATTTTGTCCCACTGAGAAAAAAGTAACTAAGACAGGAAGGAATACATATTTAATGTCATTTTACTTTAGGTAACATTTCTAAAATAACCAATATGTATACTTGTTTTCTTCTCCATAATATAAAATCTCACAGTTAAGTCACATCCACCAAGACATGATATTTACATACAGTAAAACATTTCTTGTCTCCACACAGATTCCACCAATAAATTTGTTTTATGAGGTCGGAACTTATACTTGAATGACACAATCCTCTATCAATTATGTAGTTTCAAATAAGTGAATAATAAAAACTGTGTATGAAACATGATGTAAAGAACACATACTTATGTTCATTTCATATTTGTATTTTTTGTTTTATTATCTTCTCATATTCTAAGGGTAGGAATTTCATTATTATTAAACTATGTCCTAATATGTATACAATAAAAATGTATGTAATCATGTTCCAATAGGAAAACAAGTATGAGTAAAAACATAAAGGGGATATTTTTCTACTCTCAATTTCTTTATATATGGCTTCTAAAAGCAAAAATTATAACAATGTAGTATGGACATCACAGTACTTGTTGATGTAATAAATTTTATGACTATAGCATAAAGTGCAATTACCATAAATTTTGAGGGGATGGGCAGATAGCTTAGTAGCCAAAGTGCCTGCCTGGCAATGCAAGATCTTGAGTTCGATCCCTGGTACTGGGAAAAAAAATAACAAAATGAATTTTGAAACCATAAGACTGTAGAGATGTTTTGAAGGAAGTAATATAATACTAAATAGTCTAAGAAAGCAAATGATGTGGCCCAGCCTGTAATCCTGGTACTCTGGAAGGCTGAGGCAGGAGTACTCCCAGTGCTACTGGGAGTATAGGCCAGGTCCAGCCTGGGCAATCTAGGAACTGTCTCAAAACAACAATAAATGGCCACACCTATAATATTCAAATAATGGAACTTAACAAAAAAAGGGTATACAGATGAATGTCCATTTTGTATCTGTGTATTCAAAGTGGATGGGATAGATATGTAGTTGCATTCTGTTAATGAATAGAATGATTTGTTCTGATGGTGTTTTTGTAAATAGGATATCAAGTCTACATCTTGTACAGCAATTAACCACTAAGAAGAATGTATGCAGTGTGTTAATTATTGAAACTGTCCTACCAATTTGGTATGAAACTGTCTCATTGCTATTTGTTTCTCAATAAAATTATGGGAAAAAAAAAAAAACAATAAATGGCTGAGGATATAGCTCAATAGAAGGGCCCAGGGTTCAATCCCCAATATCATAGAAAAATATGTATGGGGTATACAACATATAAATTCTTATAAGCAAGAGTTTTCTTTCCCCAAAACACACCTCAAGTCACAATAACTGTTACTGTTATTCTTCTAAACTACAGAACAGTAGTGTATGAACTATTGTTCTTTGAGCATATTCCCTTCCCCCTTACATCAGAGCCTTTGCACATGTCTTCCTCCTGCCCAGAATGCCCTTATACTCTTCCTTGGATTATAGCTATTCATCTCTGGTCTAAATGGCATTTCCTCTAGGAAGCCTTGCCTGACAATCTCCAATCAGTTGCCAAATAAATATAACCTATCACAGGCCCCCTAGCACACTGGACTTCAGCATTTCTTACTTAACTAAGTTGCTCTTATTTACCTATTTTCTATTCCCCCAGGAAATGAAGATCCTGAAAGGCACTGGCTTAGTTTGCTCATTGCTGAGTCTTCTATAATCAACCAGGGCCTAGTACCCATGTGCTAGGGAAAGAGACAAAAGGCTCCCAGCCTGCTTTCTCCTTCCTAACATACCGTTTGGCTCTTTCCAAGTCATCATTTGCTTGCTCCAGCTCCCTGATATATTTCTGCAGTTGATCTTTAATTGCTTTCGTCTGTGCCAGGTCATCTTCCAAAGCTGAGATCTGCCGGTAGCCTTCAGAATGTTGCATTTCAAATTTCTCCTGAAGGACAAAAACAATGATTTTAGACTTTGAGAAGCTACATGTATGTCTCTTTCTTGACATCTCCTTACAAACATAGCTGTTCGCTATTCTTCTCCTTCCCTAAGCCCTAGCAGCACCCTGACTCCTATTGAGGGTTTCTCTTACCCAGATTTTGGAATCTTAATGGGACCCCTCCTCCCATCATCCCTGTGGAAACAACTCCAGTTTCATCTCCCAGGTTCGTACCTAAGCTCAGTCAACAGAACCTTCTGTCCAGAGGCCTAGAATGTTGAGGAGTGACTGAAGCTGCTAAGAACAGGTAGCAGTCATTCAAAGCAGGCACACTCTTGAGGGCTTACTGCCTCCTGGTCCTGTGAGCACCTGGTATCCTGCCCACTCCCGCGTCTGGTCCCTATAACCAGTGCCCAAAAACCAACAAAGTGTCCACAGCCAAAGAAAGCCTCATGACGAACAGGAGGGCATCAGGTACTGACTGTATCAGAAAGTTAATATCCTAACTTTTTGATCAGAACACTTTCCTGTAGCATTGGAAAAGTTACAAGAAACTTCTGGGCAAGGGAGGGAGAAGGAAAAGGAAGAGAAAAAAAACTAGTATTGATTATGGAAGGAAGCTTAGTGCAACTGGCTAGGGCTTTCCAAAAGCAGAGAAGAGTCCAATGACCACTCAGTGAGGAGCTGTGGCTCATTTGGAGCAGATAACCCATGACATACTTAGGCTGCATCAGCCTAGGACACTACATGCATATGTTGTCACTTTTATCCCATTTCAGATATGTGGAAAAGTTGACTGGCAGCAAATGACTGGAGCAAGATGAGGCTGCAGCTACTTGAGCTGGTGTTCTTAAAACAGTGCTGGATGCTCAGTGGCCCTAAACCACTTCAATCCAGATAACCAAAGTATAGATATTGAGATATTACTTAGGATTGAACCCAGGGCCTTCCAACTGAGCTATATATCCCCAGCCAATAATCACTTTTTAAGACAGAGCTTCACTTGGTTGTTCACGCTGGGTTTGAACTTGGGTTCCCTGCCTCAATCTCCTAGAGTGTTGGGATTATAGTTACAGGCCTCCTCCATGTCTAGCTTTCAGATTCCTTTCCTTCAAACAACTTTTCACAAACACGGCATAAAACAAAACACATCTCACAAGAAAGATCTAGTTCAAAAGTTAAAAACAAAGGCACACTCGCTCCTCTTCTTGACTAGATCCAATCAACAAATCTGTTGCTACAAACAATCCACAGGCATTGGGAGTGAGGTAATGGTGCTGAGCCAGATGGGTGTGGTGAGAGGCCGTGGGAAGGAAGAATGGCCAAAGAACAGCAGGTTATTCACATGGTGCTGAGAAGGGGGGCAGGCCCTGTCTTCCAGCTGCTGAGCCCTTTGATGTTTCCTTTTCCTGGCTGTGAGCATAGCTATGTTTGAACTCAGGAAGAGGCCACCTACCCATATGCACAGGTCAATCCCCAGGCGTGGGTCTGACCACCCTGCACCCTTTATTTCATGGCAGCTACAAATAAAACACAATCCCAGGACATTAACCTCGATTCTAAGGTGAGCTCCAAGAAGATGTGGAGAAGACTCCTTACTCCGCATACACATTCAGACAGTCTCCTCTTTGAACTCGTGACATGAAAAGCTGCTGCCGGAATGCTGGGCTTTCATTTGGGGCTGATTATAAAAAGCTGCCAGCTGATGAAGCATCAATGGATGCTCTGTTTGATCCGACAGGCTTCTGCATTCAAGTTGTGATGAACGAGCCAGTTGTCATGAACTCATCTCAGCTGAATACATTAGGTGACTGACAAATATTTACTAGTGGCAGTGTACTCCTTCTCCAAGGTGCTCATATTTCTTCCTGTGCTCTGCTCCAAGGTTGTAATGAAGATATCCTTTGCAGGTTCGAGGGCTCAGTCCTTTGCTTCTTGTACTAGTAACTGAAGTCAAGGTCTCACACATGCTATACAAGCATAGCAGTACAAAGCTCCATTCCTAGTCCTTTTTTATTTCAAAGGCTAAGTTGCCCAGGCTAGCCTTGAACCTGTGATCCTCCTGCCTGTCTCCTGAGTAGCTGAGATTTCATGTGTGCACCACCTAACCCAATAAGGTTGTCTTGAAGCAGTTAATTACTCAGTAACTGAGTGATAGTTACTCAGCATCTGCAGAGGCCTCTTATTTTCTCCAAGCCATACTTCATACCACAAATCTCTCCACTAATCCCCAAGTTCCTTCAATTTAAGAACAAGGACAATTCTTTGCTGCCTATTGCAGGATTAAGCATGCATTCTTGCAAGGGTCAGGTTACTAACAATGACACAAGTGGGCCACATGCCAGACAAACAGAAAACAGCACTTGGACTTCCGCACCAGGGTTACAGGGACCAAGACAGATTGGGCTGTTTTCTGCTGGAATGACTGGGTCTAATTCTCAAGGGAAGTCCGAAATACAGATTTTCCTGAAAATTTTTACATTACAAATCTTAGATGTTGACATTAAATATGAAAAACCCCTAAATATACCAATTTTATTATTGAAAAGAGAACCTATAAGCAAATGCTGGACACTAATTGATGATAAGCAGGTTGAAGTACTTGGAGGAAGTGTACAGATTCTTGCAATTTCCTTTTTTTTTGGTACGAGGAATTGAACTCACAACTTTGTGCTTGCCAGGCAGGCACTGAGCCACTAAGCTATCCCTGGCTGCAATTTATTTTGAAATGCACTAGAAAAAGAAGATGGATGGGCAGGCCTATTATGAATAAAAGAAAAGCATGGTCAGTGTCATGGTAGAACCTAGTGGTATGTATACAGACATTCACTGGAAAATTCTTTCAAACATGTTGTATGCTTAGAAACTTTCACAGTACACGTGGAAATGAAAACCACTAAAAGATAAACAAACATCTACAGATTGCTGTGCAGATGGTCAGGTTAAGGTTTCTGGTCTACAACATCAAACATGAACTTCACTACTCAGATTCCAAGGTCTGAGAGGCCTTTCTTCTCTCCCCGTTGGAATCACCATCGCACTTGCTCGGCTCATTTGCCCCACTTGCAAGTAAGGCCAGGCTCCCCACTTGACACTCATTCTTATTCCCATGTCTGTTATGGTTTAGATCTAGATTACCCTCCAAAAGTCTCAGAGGTCCAGAGGTGGGGCTTTTGGCAGGTGCCTGGATGATGGGGTGCTGTACTCAAGGGTGGAAATGTGCTGTTAGGAGGTGGGGCCTGGTCAGAAAAGGTGGGTCACCAGGAGACATGACCTGGAAGTCTGTATTTTCCTTCTTGGTTCCTCTTTTTGCTTTATGCTTCCTGTATCAAGGCATTAACAGCTATTCTTTGCCCAGGACCTTCCAGTATACAGTTCTAATATGCTTCCAAAATGCTGTTTCAGCCAGGCATGGGCTTAAGTTTCTGAGACTGTGAACCAAAATAAAACTCTCCTCCAGTAAATTGGGAGTGATGGTTTCAGTTTTGCCAAAAAGAAAGTGCTTGCAAAGTTGGAACAAAGAACAAGGCTGCTGAAAAGATTAGCATTAAAAAGAAGCCAGGTACTTTCCACTCAAACAAGAGGAAAAAAGATGGCTTGAGGGCATTTCAGGAAAAAGATAGATCCCAGTTTTCAAAGGCTCAAAAATGCAAAGGTGAAAAACTGCTTTGAGAAGAAAGCCTCAGGACAACCTGCCCAACTAGGGAATTGGTTCCTGGAGATTAGGTTAGCAATACTAAGCCATGCAGGCACTTAGAGATCTTTACAGCCATGATCCAATCTTGGCTTAAACTAAGATACTGCTTAAGTTTGGACATGTCTGTCTTGGTAGGTGTGGTTGTTACAACCTTGGAGGGGGGAATGCTACTGGAAAGTAGTAGACAGTGTGCAGGAGGCTACTAAACATCCTACAATGGAAAACTCAGCCCTCATACCAGAGAACTATATAGCCTCAAATCTCAGTGAACCCCTACCCTTATCCACGGGAGATCTATTTCATGACATTTTGTTATGCCCAAAACTTGAGACACACATATGTAACCCTAAACATGTTACTGTTTTCTCATATACTTAACATACCTGTGATGTTTAATTTATAAGCTTTAAGACATGAGCAATAATAAAATAGGATAATTAAAACAAAATATACCATAAAAGTTATTAAAGGCTTATAAATTATTTATCCCTGGAATTTTCCACTGAATAGTTTCAGATTTCAGTTGATCACAGGTAACAAAAACCATGGAAAGTGAATCGCAGACTGCTACAGGCACAAGAAGACAAGTCTGTTCTAGATTGGGGTTACCCCATGCAGCATTTTTTTCATGAGAGAACTACTCTACAGCCCTTCTGTCTATAAATGATATGTGTGATCCAAATGTGGTTGGCTACCAGGCCTACAAACATAGCTAGCGTGAACTGACCTGAACTGAGCTTTTTCATTAACTTACAGTTGAATGCCACATGCAGCTGGGGGCCACCACACTGAACAGTACAGCTCTAAAGCTTGTAATACAATGATTAGCAATTTTAGTGATACTCCAGCCTCCAAAAAGGTCTCCCCGCCATGTGCCCCAAGAAATTGGTACAGATCACCAAGAAAAGCCACAGAGATGCATGCATGATGTGCTTGTCACAGAGTTCCACACACAGCGGCTTCTAGGATGATAACTACATCCACCCACAAGGCTTACAGTTGGGAGGGACCCAGCCTTTAGTCCCTTCGCCCCACAGAGCTCTTCCTTGCTGCAAGCTCATCTACCCCTCTCAGTTCCTCACCTTGATAGTTTCCAGTTCCATGCGAAGGCGGTTATTCTCTGACAAGAGGTCCCGGTTTCTGGTTTCAATTTGTTGCAGCTGTGTCTCTAATTCAGCTTCATATTCTCGGCTTCCCTCCTGGAATTCTCGGAGTTCTTCCTGTGTATTCTCTGCCCT